TGTTTTAAAACGTATTATCAGGTCTACTTGGGTCTTTTGACTATATTATATATTACGTACGTCTGTATACCATTTTGATTCTTAAATATCAAGACCAGGGTCGCGTTTATTCTTTGAAATAATATGTGGAGGATGACAGGCGCCGAAGGCCCAGTATCAATATTTGATTAAACAATATAAAACGTTTTATATACCCACGGCCCGTCGGGGTGGGGTTGGGGGGCAGCTGGGACACATGTCCAGGGGCCTGGTGCCTATACCCGGAAGTATGCCGAGTAATGTTTTTTAAAAGAAATTGTCAATGGTGTAGGCAGTGTAGAAATTGGGGTAATCGTAGATGGCCGCGTGTAATGTTCTCAGATGAGTCCAGATGTCATGCTAACGTTAACGTCAGACAGCATGACAGATTCGGGCGTGGGTCGGTTATGGTGTGGGGAGGAATCACCATGACTGACAGAACGGACTTGCATATTGTTCAAGGAAGGGTCACTGGTGTGTACTACCGTGACCTGATCTTTGCCCAACGTGCACGTCGGCGTTTCATCTTTCAAGATGATAATGCCTGTGCCCACCGCGCTCGTGTCGTGAATGACTACCTCCAGCGTCACCATATTGTCCATATGCCTTGGCAAGCTATGACTCCAGACCCCGAGTTCACAAAACATTCTCAGGCTTCAGTTAAAAAATTTACTCAAAATCTTTCGCCTTATTTTAACTAAAATTTAGCCCTTTATAAAACTTTTGTTGTTTTAATGTATCAAATACATCAATAACAAACTATGTGCAAATTTTCGTGTTTCTGGATCAAAAGATATTTCTTATAAACAGTGATTGACAGTTGAGTAAATTCGTAACTTAAGCCTGAGAATTCTTTGTGAACTCGGGGCCTGACCTTTCCCCTATAGAGCATGTCTGGGACATGATCGGGAGACGTGTTCGTCGACGTCAAATGAAATGAAATGAAATGAAATGGAGTTTAACGTCCTACTATTCTGCTCCTAACCTGGGCTAATGAAGACGGGCATACGCCATACAGTGTGCTATGAGGGAAATTTTGCCCGGACAGTGGCACTACGGCCTACTCTTATATCGAATTCCAACTGCCAAAGGATCTTTTACGTGCACGCCAATGTGTACACGGGACCTCGGTTTTTCGTCCCATCCGAACGACTAGACAGCTTTCCTTGTCAGCCCCTCCGTCCTGCATCACTGACAAGGGAGAACCACACCGGAAAATCTGGGTGAACTTTCTCGGCCAATGCAGGGATCGAACACCCGACCTCCAGGCTAGCGAGCTAGCGTCTTACCCACTTAGCCACGTGATCCCCCTCGTCGACGTCAACGTCAACCGACAACACTGCAAGAATTGGCCGTGGCACTGCAAGAGGAGTGGGTCAGATTGCCCCAAATCTTGATTGGACGGTTGAATTGATTAGGAGCATGCCACGACGAATTTACTGAATGTCTGAGGATTGGTGGAGCAATTACTCATTATTAAGACAAAAATCAAAAAGTTACACTTTCACTATTCTGACAGTGTATCGCTTTGCGAGTGAAATGGGGCCGTCAGATAAGCCGCCCATATGAACTGTTTATGTTCATGTGTAGGCAATTGTCCTTTTATTAACATATGGTTACCTCTAATAAAAACAGCAGTGCATTTCCGCAGTTTTGTATTGTTTCTGAATATCCCCTACTTTTTTGAAGAGTATATAACAATACACAATATGAACTAACTAAAAAAAATGGACAGGTGTGGGAGAATCTGTAATTGCGAAAAGTTAACAATCAAAAGGGGGAGATTTTAATACAACCAAAGGTGCTAAATTGCCATAGTTAAATTATATTATGCATACTAATAACATCATCATATGTCCTAGGGATGTAAAGCCCTAAGTCCCTGTTAAGTTCAGGTAAACATCTTCTGATATTTATAGCTTCTAGGATCTTCCTGGTTTTCTTGTTCTGTTGGTTAGCGGTGAGTATCTGAACCTCATTCCATTTAACTCTATGTTGTGGGTGGTTCTGTAGATGTTCCCCTATGACTGAATTATTAGTGGCAGCTTTGGACCTATGTTCTGTTATTCTTTTGTCAATTGGTCGTTTCGTTCAGAGGCGGATTTAAGGTGGGCGCGAGGGGCGCCTCCCCCCCCCCCCCTAATTTTCGACAGTGCCCTTTTTTACTGCTGAAAGTGCCCTTTCTCAGACCCAAATATGTCCGTTCCCAACCCGTTGCAGGGATCCCAAATGACTCAAACCATCGATTCTAACACACCAGTCTGGTCTAATTAATGCTTCCACTTGCAAACGAATTCTTGTTGTTTAGCTGACGGTGCCCTAATCCTATAGGGTGACTATAGATAGACATCTTGTGGAATCGGCGGCGTATACGCTCATGCCCATCTCCGACGCGCATGAGTGCAACTTGATGTAGCATTGTTTCATGTGTGGACAGTACAAAGTACAAGTTACAAGGCTTAAATAGTGAAGTGGCTAGGGAATAGATTCGTCTTTTTTTCCCATCATAATGCCTCGCTCGCCATGACAATTTTCGAGTCGCATGTTCAAATGTTTTTTTTGCTCGATTTTAAGGCTCTTTTTCAACGATTTCCGAACGTTTACTTAGACGAAAATATCAGCCAAATAGTTCTTGGAATGGCTACAGATGCAAGGAAATGACGGATAATTTTCTTGCCCCCCCCCTTCCTAAAAAAAAAAAAAAAAAAAAAATCCCCTCTCAGCGGCTTGCCCCGTCTCCACGGGCAGTGTCCTCGTTTTTCGGCGCCCCCCCCCCCCCCCCACTTTTCAAAATTCCGAGATCCGCCCCTGGTTTCGTTTCCCCAATATGATTGATTACAGAAACAAATCACTTGATAGACGACTCCTTTGGGTTGAATCAGGGGAATTAGTTGCAGTTGGCTTTTAATAACAAACATCATAAAATACAAAACAATCCCATAATAACCACCACGGTTACATTTTAGCAAAAAAAAAAGGGTAATGATTTAAATTAGATCTCTTACATCAAGCGGTTGCCATGAAACATATGCCCACATTTTGCAAGAGACGACGGAGAACAAGTTAAAAAAGCGATTTTTTTTCGTACAATCAGAGGCCATGATCCAAGATGTTACGTTCCCACAATATCAAAAGGAACTATAATATAAGATCTTTGGGATATAAACCTATAATTCAAATTTCGTCAAAATCGGATAAAAAATTGTAACTTGTAGAGCAGTGGTTCTTAACTGGGGGTACGTGTACACTATATACGAGATATGGTGTCAAATTGTCGGTGTACTGCACGAGATATGGTGTCTTATTGTCGGTGTACTGTACGATTGTACTTGAAAGACTATTTATGTATTCATTATATCTGCGTATGCATTCAATGCATTGTATAAATAAACTTACAATATATTTCATTTCAGTTATTATAATTCCATTTATTTCCTGAAGTCATTTTGACAGGGGTACGAGGAAATACTATGAAAGCTCAAGAGGCACGAGTACATAAAAAGGTTAAAAACCACTGCTGTTATTTATTTATTTACCCTTTTATTGTTACGATTTAAAGTAAATGTGCTATAATTGTAAAATCTTATAAATTCCCCACGTACAAAATATTCCAAATTTTAATATTACAACTTGTTTTTGATATAACAATAATAACATTATAGAATTTGTTTGTTTATTGGGGTTTTCTTTTACAAAGAAACAAAGTATTTTCGATTAATTATATATATATATACAAAACAAACCCATAACCATCACAATTATAGCAGAAATTTAAGAAAATAAACATTTACATAATAAACAAATGAAAAAAATTATCAAAACTTATTTAACCATTTACGGTAACAATATAAAGCAAATATCAAGGTGTCATTGGAAGATATGTCTCAAATTTTGCAAACAATCTAATATGAACTCCTGTTTTGTATATATACACTGCATATTAAAATCACAGCAAATCGAAATTATATTTTTACCGACATGCAAAGACCTTAAAAGCACCCGACGATCAATATCGTGGCTATGCATATATAATATATATTACACAATACACTTATGTATAGGTCTAATAATAATTGGTAAAGAAAAATATATAAAGTAATAAGAAATATACAACTGCTATACTTCTACCAGCAGCAAAGTAGCATATTTTAACTCTAAAATCAATGCTAACAAATCCCACTGAGAAAGTTTTAACAAATTCAAGCAAGTTTTAAAAACTGTTTAGCTCTTTAAAAGTAAAACTAGGAACATAAAGTTAACTCTACACAATCATAGAATGTGTTTCATTTACCACCAACATATTCTTAAAGGACAATATTGGTGTCAGTCATCATCACATATGTGATAGAACTGGTTAAACACATTCCAAATATAAGTTTAACACAGAGGTCATTGCTACGATAGATGAGCAATACAGGTGTCACGAATCGGAAGTGACGAACGCCAAAGGAAAACACGAGTTATCCCTCTATATAACTGACTGAAATGACGAGTGATATCAGATACACGGCCGAATTTCTGCTCACTAATAATTCCTTCGAAGACCAAAAGTTGTCATATGGGACTGTAAGATGATATCTGACAATTCAATAAAGTAATTGAATGTCATTAGATAAGAGAACACGAGAAAAATAGAAATAGTCCGTACATTCCCTCATTTTTATTCATTCTATACCTTATAAAAACATGGTAATGCACGGACTTTTTCTGTTTTTCTTTCGTATTCTCTTATCTAGTGGCAGTCAATTCTTTTGATAAATTGTCAGATATCCTCTCACAGTCTCGCACAACAACTTTTGGTCTTCGAAGGAATTATTAGTGAGCAGAAATTCGGCCGTGTATCTGTTATCACTCGTCACTTCAGTCAGTTATATAGAGGGATAACTCGTGTTTTCCTTTGGCGTTCGTCACTTCCGCTTCATGACACCTGTATTACTCATCTATCGTAGCAATGATCTCTGTGTAAAAATTATATTTGGAACGTGTTTAACCAGTTCTATCACATATGTGATAATGACTGACACCAATATTGTCCTTTAATTCGATTACTTTCTGTCAATATGAGTAATTATTTTATACTCGAGCAATTATTAGCCCCCTCGAATGAATATTTTACACGAGTACTTAATATGTGTCCTTGTTTCCAACACCATCATAACCTTTCATCAACAATCTTCCAACTGCATAATAATAATTTCACCGTATATTATTGACTATATCTAAATTAATTATATTCACCGTCTTTAGTGTCCACAGGCTAACTAAATTTTCATTTTAAAAAACCCACAACATTGTCCTACAAATAAGAAGTTAGAGCCAAATTATATTAACGCAGTGGCTATTTGCCACATGTTTTTAGCAAGAATTTCAAAATAGCCTTACGACTGCAGACCGCAATTACCACATGAAATGTGTGGTAACCTGGTATCTCGGAAACCGCTATCCGGAAGTGGTCCAAATTTTGGCTACTCTGAGATATTATTAATGTTATCATATTCGGGAAGTTTCAATGAAATGTGTGGCAACCTGATATCTCGAAAATAGCTAAACGGGAGTGGTCGAAATTTTAGCTACTCTGAGATATATTAATGTTATCTTATTCTGTAAATTTCATGGATATCGGTTGATAATATTGCGGTCTGCAGTCGTGCCACATGAAATGTGTAGTAACCTGATATCTCGGAAACTGCTAACCGGAGGTGGTCGAAATTTTGGCTACTCTGAGATATTATTAACGTAATTATAATCTCCAAGTTTCATTGAAATCGGTTGATAATAATAATTGCCGTCTGTAGTCGTGCCGTCTTCATTAGCCCAGTTTAGGAGCAGAACAGTAGGACGTTAAATCCCATTTTATTTCTGTAGCCGTGCCGCATGAAATGTGTGGTAACCTGATATCCCGGAAAACGATATCCGGAAGTGGCCGAAACTTTCCCTACTCTAAGATATTATTAACGTAATCATAATATTTAAGTTTCATTGAAATCGGTTGGTAATTGCGGTCTGCAGTCGTGCCATGTGAAATGTGTGGTAACCGGATATCCCGGAAAGCGCTATCCGGAAGTGGTCGAAATGTTGGCTTCTCTGAGATATTATTAATGTTATCATATTCTGTAAGTTTCGTGGATATCGGTTGATAATATTGCGGTCTGCAGTCGTGTCACATGAAATGTGTGGTAACCTGATATTTTGGAAACCGCTAACCGGAAGTGACCGAAACATTGCCTACTCTGAGATATTATTAATGTCATTATAATCTGCAAGTTTCATCGAAATCGGTTGGTAATTGCTGCCTGCAGTCGTGCCACATGTAATGTGTGGCAATCCGATGTCTCGGAAACTGCTGACCGGAAGTGGTCGAAATTTTGGCTACTCTGATATATTATTATTATCTTGATCTGTAAGTTTTATAAAAATCGGGTAACGGTTGACAATTGCGGTACGGTTGATAATTGCGGTACGGAGATTTGCCACGTGGCAAATAGTCTCCGAATTGTCTTACCACATGTGGCAAATATCCCCAGCCTTATATTAATCGTCCATATGTGATTATTTTATATCAATATTTTAATAATTTCTCTATCCTATAATGTGTAAATTCCCCGATTAATTAAGAAAATATTAGAAAGACATTGACATACAATGGGCTGAAAGTAATTCTGATATAAAGGGGATATTTTAACGTGCAAATTATTCAATTTTACGGTCAGTTTTGGCTTACCTGTAACTGTGTTTTAAATTGGCCTATATGTGATTATATATTCAGGGTATACCTGGTTGTTATTAAATAAAACAAAAATCATAGGGTTATGCTCATTATCTACACAAGAATCATACAGATCACTTGATGGGTTAGACGGATCCTTTAAGGGTGGTCGGGCAAAACTTCGATGTCCCGTGATGCTATCACCTAACAGGGCCCTGGCAACAAACATCTTCCTCTCCTTGTCGTCGTTGTTGCAGTATCTGTTTGACAAAAGTGACGTTTTGGCGAAGTAACCCCCTTTACCAAACAAGGTACCAACTCTGTTTCCTGCTAAACGACAATCAAATCCCTGTCTAGCTATAGCATCTGCTATATTATTGTCAGTACTGTGATACAATCGTATGTCTTCTATTGGCCGTTTCAATTTTCTGTTAAGTGCAGCCTTGGCTCTGTTGATAGAATAAAAAAAAATTATTGTTGACTGTAGAGGCAGAAATGGGGCTATGGTAGTAGTAAAGGAAATTCCTCTATGAGTACCTGCTGGTGATGCTACTGTTGGCTTCGACGCGGACCTTTTTTTCGGCTCCTCAAATCCAGGTCCAGGCTATCGTCCAATGTATATCTATGAAGCAGGTTATTATTTCCAAAACATGTACTACCACTTAACATTTAAGGAGTTCACATAGCTATAACAATTTTTTGTTGCACAAATATTCTTGTTACTTGATATATTTCGGGTTTTTTTTTCTTTAAAGTGTTATGATCAAAGTAGATTGCTATTTGATATTTAACAAATGAGGCAATACGTTATGGTTCCAGTCTACTCCACTAATTCCAGGTTTCATTAACGGGGTTTTCACGAATTCCGTTTATCTGCCCTTGATCGTAGGTTGATTCTTCGAACCAATAAAAAACAAACAGTTTACATACCAGTCAAAGCGTCATTGCTTACGTTTACAACAATAATCTTCGTTGTAATAAAATGTCAGTTAATTGATTCACTCTGAACCAAGATTTTAGCGATTGAATTTTCGGCCTAGCCTCGATCATCATTACTAAAGCCAGTACGATAAAATGCATAGTCTCGATTATCCATTTCATAATTAAATCATGAATGGAAGTCGAACAGCAAATCGGAACCTAATCCAATAAATATCGGAGGGTAGCGATGACATCAAGTTGATTATGGTCTGGATAAGTTAATTAATGTCTTATTAACAATTTCGGGCCTAAAGAAGGACCTGTAATAGGCAGATTTAGCTCTTGCATAATGTATGTTTAATAATTTAAATAGCATTTGAAGCCCCCCCCCCCAAAAAAAAAAGACCTGCAATTGGCAGATTTGGCTCTTACATAATGCATCCATAATTGTATTCTGTACTTTAAACACACGCTATGATATAATATATGTGTGCATGGCCGTGTAAACTATTGCATCTAGAAGTATTAATTAATAATGGTGTTATTACCCCGTTTACACTGATGCCCCACTTTATAATTAATTTATGATGATAGGTAAGGCGTAGCCGTCTATATTTTTTGTTATAATTTGATACATAGTTGTTATATTATCCCATAATTTTCTAATATCATATTTCAATTATTGTTATAATACAATGCCGATACAGTCACAAAACCTATTTCTGTGATATATTTAAAGGAGCTAAATCGCTAATATTTGGTACCTAGAAATGGGTCGAAATGCATATAATAATGTAATCTGAATGTATATAAACTGATTTACATTCAATCGTTTCCGTTTTTTACTCTATTTCAAATCAGTTATGTTCGGCGAAATACGCCCGATTAAGTCTCAATCGAATGGCAATCTCTAGCGTCTGGTTATTCCAGTCTATTGCGCGTGCTCTCCAGGTAAGAATATGGCGTCACAGTTTGACATGACTTGTGGAATATGTCTAGCCTCGTTCTTCAAGTACCTTGTTACAAATGGCATTAAAACGCACTATGGTACACGATTCGTGTACCAATATGTTTATATTGGATATCAGAAGCCCATCTTTTCCCGGTAAGATCACACACCAATGCTGATTTAAACTGACAAATAATTCGTGTTTTCAATGCGGAAGACGTTTGATGATATTGAGTTAGAGACTGAGCTGCTTTAATCCAAACGCGTTAATATAGTCATGATATTGTGTTACTTGGTAATTTAATTGAACCGAAATAACCGTACAATTATATTTATCATTAACCCTTGTAGACCCAAGTCTCTAACTAATGCATTTTGTATGAATGGTTTAAGTTTACAAATCATTGAGTATGTTCATGCAAAATAATGAGGTATTTATTCCCTCTGTTTAAACAATATTTTATTTCGAATACACTATGGGATTTTACAAGATTAATATAACGACTTTCAAAACAAGCCTAAAATGTTTTCGTTGGGATCAATATAAAGCTAAGTTTTCCTATATGTATTCTTGATACCATTAGAGATAGTGAAGTATACTCTGTATTCTTGATACTATTAAAGAGAGTGAAATACACTATTTGGTGATACCATTAGGGGTAGTGAAGTATAGTATATTCTAGATACTATTAGAAATGGTGAAGTATACTACATATTCTTGATACCATTAGAGATAGTGAAGAATACTTGTATTCTTGGTATTGTTAGAGATGGCGAAGTATACTATATTCCTAATACCATTATAGATAGTGAAGTATACAATGTATACTTGATAACATTAGATATATGGAATTATACTTATATTATTGATAATGTTAGAAATAGGGAATTATACTATGTATTCTTGATACTGTTAAGAGGGAAGTATGCTATTTTGTATCTCGTTTTCAACATTTAACAAACTAAACGCAATTAGTTACATCATACATTAATCGACAGCTTATTCATTTACCTTTACCTTGGCTCCTCTTGGACTGATTTGTGGAAAGTTGTGTAAAAATAGATCTACGACCTATAGATCATCCTAAGTTTCCCCAGGGGTTAGTGGAGTAGAACGGAATGATACCACTGGGGATGCTATATATTATGAATCTATACTTACTCAAGGAATGCCCTCCAAAGCTCTACGTTTTCAATTCTATCAATAGATCGTACTACAAATTTTTCTTCTGATTGAGATATATCTAACAAAAATTTATCTCTAATTTCTGTATATTCATCACTGCATGTTAAAAGCTAAATAAGAAACGTGATGACATAATATTATTCATTAAAACAATCGCTATTTCGCTGGCCAGTTTATGGGATGACACAGCTCTAGGGCCCTGTCCCTGTCCCTGGACCAAGAGAATGGTTTCTCGCTTCCACCCACAGCAATTTAAAAGATCAGGATTTTCAGAAAGGAAAAATACTTTCATAAAATTGAAGCTGTACTTTGAATGAAAAGTATTTGATCCAAGAGATATAGTTGTTGGTTGCTGTGAAACCACTGAGTATGAAGATGCAGTTTTCGCCATCCTCAGTTGTAACGTTCGCTTCTACGATCCACTAATCCCTGGTTCCATTCACGGGGGAGTCACGTAGTCAAATCATACGCCCTCGGTAATTGTGCTATTTTTATCGACAGACAGACAACAAAAAATTCGATAAATAAGCTATTGGGGCGAAGGCAGGTAACTCGCATTTTGCTGAAACTAAAATTACCGGATCATTGCTGAAAAATTTGTCGAAATACTTTAGGGCATCTTTTTGTGTGCATGTCATTTCTTTGTTAATAAATTCCTTGCAAAATTTCTCATAATCGAACGTACTATTGTGGTGAACATAAACAATGATGCTAAGACTGGTAGGTAATTTGTTCGTAGAAACAACCTACGTGACAAATAAAATCATTAAGGGCAAATAATATGAATCGTGAATACCCCGTGAATGGACCCGGGGATTAGTACAGTAGAACGGAACGATACCAGTGGGGAGGTTCATTAGCATAGGAATGATGAAAGAGTCTTTCAGTTTCTTGAATTATCCGTAATTTGGGGAGATGCCTTCTGTGACAGTGGTCCGATTCACACGATATTAGTTATAGTTATGGCTTGATGTGGTCTTCACACCAGTTGACAATGGTCACATCTCCAAACTGTGTGTTGGACAAAAGACCATTAATTAGTTCTGTTTTGTCGTCATTCAGTTTTAGCATATTGGAAGACATCCATTATAAGAAACTTCTGTAGTTTAGCAGTGGTCTAATATTAATTTTAGAAAAAGCATAGACATGATACTCAATGCCGCCTATACCAGTAGAACAATGGAAATGCTTCGATGACAGGAGCATGCCTGTGATTACTCGTACAGAAAAATAACCTAATAAATCTGCCTTAAAGAGTGAATGGGCGGATCCAAGAATAATGTTACAGTACTTACCCGTGTCATTCGAAAATGTGAGGAAACATCACCAGAGAATTCCCATGTCGATGGTGTGGCAAGTTTCTCAGCCTCCTTTATGAGTTTGACTTTATCTTTTCTAAATTATTGAAAAACATTATTTTACTAATAATCTATCGATATCTTTGTATTGTAATGATAAGAATCTTTTCATTTTGAAAATTTAGGTTATATAAAGTCATATTCAACAGACAACATCCACGCGTGGACCGGGCAAATTGTCGTTGAATTATAAACATGTGAAAGCAAATAATACATATACCTCTGTTTGAGAACAGCCTTATCCACAAATTCCGGTCTTCTAGCAAGTTTCCGTTCCGTACCTATGTCTTTATTTATTTGGACCATACCAAAGAATTTAATTAGATATGCATTGGCTAAGGTTTTGAATTCTACAGTAACATCAGTGTCATTTAGGTAACTCTTCTCAATCTCTGTGGATGTTATACTAGCCTTGTAACCAATGCCATCCTGAAAAAAATGTTTCGGTCCAAAATAAAAAATTTAGTTATATTTATAACATTACATAACATTAAATTTTTACTTCAGTGGTCAGTTTATATAATTCTATTTACTTTGTCATATTTTCTTTCTTTTGATACATTAATGTCGATTCTGTAATGAAGAAACAGCATTTTGATATTCCATCATTCTTTATCATCAAGTCGTATTTAATTTTCCTAAGACATAAGCCGTTACAATTTAGACTTAGAAGCTAAGTATTAAATGTGACCCTTTTGTGTTTGCCGATTACTCAAGATCAAAACATATGGAAAATAAAATGGGAATAAAACTGTCTATTTATCAAATTGATAGATTCATCTCAAATTTTGTACATAATCTTAACTCTTTTTTTGTTTAAACATGTTTTATTGCAAAACCTTTACAAAGGAATTAGGATAATTTATAGGAATTATGATCACCTTCTCCCCTCTCTTGACAGTATTGTCTTGTCAAATCAAATCGAACCAATCTGAGACTACCACAAAATGGCTTTGCTCCTTTAAATCTATGTCAGTAATAAACAAGTTAACATTGGATGGTTATGTAATAATAAATTCCAATTGTCAAGTGAGGTTAGAAACCAATCCGCTAATTTGTAATGCGTCCCGACATTGGATACCACTCGTATGTTCCTACATAATATCCACATGTTAAAATGTTTAACTTACTTGTTCCCCATAAGGAATCCAACTATCTTCTGATTTCCAGTACCATATCCATTTTGTGGTAAACGGAAGATCAAGGTTACTAGTGTCGCTGGTAAAGCTCAGTGTTGATAATCGACGGATCTTGGGATCACTTTTCTCAAAGTTGGTAAAATCAATTCTCTTTATAGTGCGTGTAGATCTACATGTAATGGTTTTATTATAAATAATAATAATTTAATACCGGATATCAAACCTACAGTACAAATGTTAGATACATTCTCAAAAGCAATTTTGTTGTCAGCTCTGCTTTTCACGTAAACGTTTCTCCAGCAGGCGGTCAGGGGATTATAAATAATCACACAAGGATTGTAAAAACTAGCTCTGGACAACTCCATATAATTTGTAGACGGTTTGAGGGCGATCAATAACCCCATTCAAAATTTCTTTCATTTCGGTTTGACAAAAAATTACAGAAAATCAAAAGGGTTTATATATTGTTCGATGAAGTGGAAATGAACGCGATAGTTTGCAATTCTAACTTTTGATAGGTTTCATTCCTATAATTAGGGAATGAAAAGTGATGCAAAGCTAACCATAAGACTTTAACAAGCAATCTTCATTACGAAAGGGTGCAAATGTTGTGTTAACTCCCCAATTAATGATGTTTTATAGTTTGTCATTGATAAGGTAACTATTATGCTACCGCGTACACGACACTGGTCTCTACTTATACAGAAACAATAGTTTGGATAAAGTCACCATCAGAGCCACCAGACAACAGTCGGACTTAGAACGATTAAATAAATATGATAATTACCCTTCTGTTGTTTTGTAATAATGCTCCTCTTTAATATCAGGTGAACAATAGTTCCTCTCAATATCAATATTAGTTTCTTCTGCAAAAACCTGCCATTTACCATGGTTATCTTCATACTGCCACTGGTACAACATACGACTGTGAACGTTTTTACATTTCTTATACCAACATTTCCCGCGTAAATGAAATAGACAAATGTTTGGAACTTCAACAGATTTTCCCTGTGGATTATTCTTTGGTTTTTGTTCTCGCTGTCGTGAAAGTCGCGGGGCTATTTTAAGGGCTTGCTTGTTTTCAACTCCACCGGTTATTTCAGCATGTGGTATCTGGGTGCCTGCGGTGCCAATAGGTCTATTCTTTGCTTCATAATGTGGTAGTAGGGGGCCTGCGATGCCGGTTGGGATATTTAATTTCCTTGCTTCATTTTGTTGTATTTGGGGGTCCGTGATGCCAATAGGTCTTATCATTGCTTCATTATATCCACGTTGTAGTGAACGTCGTGGAGCTATCTTTGGGGCTTGCCTAGTGTAAATTCCATCTTTTGTTGCAGTTTGTGCTATATGGGGATCTATGATGCCAATAGGATTTATCATTGCTGCATAAATGTTGTATTGCCATTAGGGGGCCGGCAAAGTTAACAGACCCATTCCTGACTTCATTTTGTTGGTCTGTGATGCCAACATACCTATTCCTTGTTTGGTTTTCACGTTGTCTTGATAAAGATCGCGAATTCTGTTTTGGGGCGGCTCGATTTTTGGGGCCATTTTGCAGTATTAGAGGGTCTGCGACGGTAGCCTTGTTCTTTTTTCTTTTACCAAACATTTGATACAAACTTCTTAAATTCATTAAAATGTCCTGTGGGGTTCGTCTAGTATCGAGGCCATATTTTCTCAAAACTCCCTGTAAATGTTGGACGTCGTGGCTTTTATCACATTCATCCCCACGTCTACAGGTGCCGTAAATATAATTTCGGCAAATGTGAAGCATTTTGCAAGTATTATCCATACTCTTGCACCCGTCATCGTTATAAAAGAAGCAAATTCTAGGGGTGGTCCATTCCGTTCTGTTTGATCTAAGCCGAAATAAACCTCTAAGCTCCGTCATGCATATTATGTCCAAATCTGCACGATGTCGCTTGACACATATCTGATAACAAGTAAAATTTGCAAATATGAAACATTTGACAATAGATATCGTTACAACCAGAAGAAAAATCGGGACATATTTTTGCCTGAACGACCAAATCAACATCTCTGCAGTCAGAAGATACACGAAAGCGTTGCAGGTTTGACCGAAGAATTGCGATAAAATTTGATCGTTCTGTTTGTCCTATCATGTTTCTTAGTTTCTATGTGTCGATAAACACTCGATTATCATCCATATTGCCATATCGTACAATACTCATTACAATATGTTTCACATCAGAATTATTACTAGAATAGGCCATCATATACGTAATATCTACTATAACATCAAGCTCGAAGTTTCCTTAAAAAAGATTGGTTAATGTATTCTGTATTGTGAAGCACACATGCGCGTTCAGATCCATAAAATAAAACTAAACCGTTTGAAATAGTCCACCTTATTCACCGAAACAGCCTGTGAAATAGAAAATTAAATTCACAGAAGTCGACTATAAGATCTATTTTATATTGCATAAAGACGACCGTGGCCAACTTATTTCAGTTTCGGGGGCATTTGTTTCCTTATTCTGAGAAAACATTGACCGAAATCAAACGAGAAGTTTGCGGAACAGTATAATAAACCTCATAAGAGCTTAAATAGATTCATACTCCTCGCAGTGTTTCGTTTGATTAGAGCTAATCCCAGGGGGATTTCTCGGGCCATTGCTTCAGGAATTTGAAATAGATTAAGATTTGCATTTATACCGTATGGAAGACAAAACTGGTCAAATTTGATCATTTTCTCTGCGACATCCTTCCTGCACGATTTAATCATCAAATCTTGCTTATTTTCTCTAAACTTGAGATGTTCACACTTCAATCTACATAAGTGCAGTCGGTCTCAAAATTATGCATCGGCGACTGAATGAATTAATGAGGTAAACAAACAATGCTAAAATAGAAGAGAAAAATCTCCCAAATATACTTAATATAATTGCTTTGATTGGATATCTCAATACGCGCCAAAAGTTCACATAATTTTCATGCATGGAGAATTTAAGACGTTACGATTAAATTAGACGATATCATAAAGGTCAGTTAGGTTATTTGCGGATGATATTAAATATTCATAAATTTATAAATTATATAATACTGAATTTATGAACCCCAAAAGTTGGACTCCGGTCTCCACAGTGAGATAAATCTCTATTAAAATATCATTTGAAGTTTCTTATACGTTCAGTTTTTATATTCCTTAGGCTCAAAACCAAACGAAACTAATATACTGCGAATTTTATTATTCAAATTTGAGCAGGGTATTTTCACGTGTAACACGATACACCTTGGTTACCAAAGAGTTATATAATATGCCCACTTCAATCACCACATTTTTAAAATTATCGCATACATGTAGTTACATTTGTTGTACACGCTATCCTATTTATACTGAATAAAACGTTTATTTCATTCTGTTTTTACATATTTAAAATATCTTCGTTGAGTGGGTGAGGGAGATACAATCAAAGAGTTGGCCGCGGGCATCACTAAACTTCAGGTTTTCTTTGCGTTGTCTTTATGAAACACCCGTCTTGGGAGCTTTCAACAACGCGTTGGTTATCATTATAGTTTTGTTTTAAAACGTATTATCAGGTCTACTTGGGTCTTTTGACTATATTATATATTACGTACGTCTGTATACCATTTTGATTCTTAAATATCAAGACCAGGGTCGCGTTTATTCTTTGAAATAATATGTGGATGATGACAGGCGCCGAAGGCCCAGTATCAATATTTGATTAAACAATATAAAACGTTTTATATACCCACGGCCCGTCGGGGTGGGGTTGGGGGGCAGCTGGGACACATGTCCAGGGGCCTGGTGCCTATACCCGGAAGTATGCCGAGTAATGTTTTTTAAAAGAAATTGTCAATGGTGTAGGCAGTGTAGAAATTGGGGTAATCGTAGATGGCCGCGTGTAATGTTCTCAGATGAGTCCAGATGTCATGCTAACGTTAACGTCAGACAGCATGACAGATTCGGGCGTGGGTCGGTTATGGTGTGGGGAGGAATCACCATGACTGACAGAACGGACTTGCATATTGTTCAAGGAAGGGTCACTGGTGTGTACTACCGTGACCTGATCTTTGCCCAACGTGCACGTCGGCGTTTCATCTTTCAAGATGATAATGCCTGTGCCCACCGCGCTCGTGTCGTGAATGACTACCTCCAGCGTCACCATATTGTCCATATGCCTTGGCAAGCTATGAATCCAGACCCCGAGTTCACAAAACATTCTCAGGCTTCAGTTAAAAAATTTACTCAAAATCTTTCGCCTTATTTTAACTAAAATTTAGCCCTTTATAAAACTTTTGTTGTTTTAATGTATCAAATACATCAATAACAAACTATGTGCAAATTTTCGTGTTTCTGGATCAAAAGATATTTCTTATAAACAGTGATTGACAGTTGAGTAAATTCGTAACTTAAGCCTGAGAATTCTTTGTGAACTCGGGGCCTGACCTTTCCCCTATAGAGCATGTCTGGGACATGATCGGGAGACGTGTTCGTCGACGTCAAATGAAATGAAATGAAATGAAATGGAGTTTAACGTCCTACTATTCTGCTCCTAACCTGGGCTAATGAAGACGGGCATACGCCATACAGTGTGCTATGAGGGAAATTTTGCCCGGACAGCGGCACTACGGCCTACTCTTATATCGAATTCCAACTGCCAAAGGATCTTTTACGTGCACGCCAATGTGTACACGGGACCTCGGTTTTTCGTCCCATCCGAACGACTAGACAGCTTTCCTTGTCAGCCCCTCCGTCCTGCATCACTGACAAGGGAGAACCACGCCGGAAAATCTGGGTGAACTTTCTCGGCCAATGCAGGGATCGAACACCCGACCTCCAGGCTAGCGAGCTAGCGTCTTACCCACTTAGCCACGTGATCCCCCTCGTCGACGTCAACGTCAACCGACAACACTGCAAGAATTGGCCGTGGCACTGCAAGAGGAGTGGGTCAGATTGCCCCAAATCTTGATTGGACGGTTGAATTGATTAGGAGCATGCCACGACGAATTTACTGAATGTCTGAGGATTGGTGGAGCAATTACTCATTATTAAGACAAAAATCAAAAAGTTACACTTTCACTATTCTGACAGTGTATCGCTTTGCGAGTGAAATGGGGCCGTCAGATAAGCCGCCCATATGAACTGTTTATGTTCATGTGTAGGCAATTGTCCTTTTATTAACATATGGTTACCTCTAATAAAAACAGCAGTGCATTTCCGCAGTTTTGTATTGTTTCTGAATATCCCCTACTTTTTTGAAGAGTATATAACAATACACAATATGAACTAACTAAAAAAAATGGACAGGTGTGGGAGAATCTGTAATTGCGAAAAGTTAACAATCAAAAGGGGGAGATTTTAATACAACCAAAGGTGCTAAATTGCCATAGTTAAATTATATTATGCATACTAATAACATCATCATATGTCCTAGGGATGTAAAGCCCTAAGTCCCTGTTAAGTTCAGGTGAACATCTTCTGATATTTATAGCTTCTAGGATCTTCCTGGTTTTCTTGTTCTGTTGGTTAGCGGTGAGTATCTGAACCTCATTCCATTTAACTCTATGTCGTGGGTGGTTCTGTAGATGTTCCCCTATGACTGAATTATTAGTGGCAGCTTTGGACCTATGTTCTGTTATTCTTTTGTCAATTGGTCGTTTCGTTCAGAGGCGGATTTAAGGTGGGCGCGAGGGGCGCCTCCCCCCCCCCCTAATTTTCGACAGTGCCCTTTTTTACTGCTGAAAGTGCCCTTTCTCAGACCCAAATATGTCCGTTCCCAACCCGTTGCAGGGATCCCAAATGACTCAAACCATCGATTCAAACACACCAGTCTGGTCTAATTAATGCTTCCACTTGCAAACGAATTCTTGTTGTTTAGCTGACGGTGCCCTAATCCTATAGGGTGACTATAGATAGACATCTTGTGGAATCGGCGGCGTATACGCTCATGCCCATCTCCGACGCGCATGAGTGCAACTTGATGTAGCATTGTTTCATGTGTGGACAGTACAAAGTACAAGTTACAAGGCTTAAATAGTGAAGTGGCTAGGGAATAGATTCGTCTTTTTTTCCCATCATAATGCCTCGCTCGCCATGACAATTTTCGAGTCGCATGTTCAAATGGTTTTTTTTGCTCGATTTTAAGGCTCTTTTTCAACGATTTTCGAACGTTTACTTAGACGAAAATATCAGCCAAATAAAAAAAATCCCCTCTCAGCGGCTTGCCCCGTCTCCACGGGCAGTGTCCTCGTTTTTCGGCGCCCCCCTCCCCACTTTTCAAAATTCCGAGATCCGCCCCTGGTTTCGTTTCCCCAATATGATTGATTACAGAAACAAATCACTTGATAGACGACTCCTTTGGGTTGAATCAGGGGAATTAGTTGCAGTTGGCTTTTAATAACAAACATCATAAAATACAAAACAATCCCATAATAACCACCACGGTTACATTTTAGCAAAAAAAAAAGGGTAATGATTTAAATTAGATCTCTTACATCAAGCGGTTGCCATGAAACATATGCCCACATTTTGCAAGAGACGACGGAGAACAAGTTAAAAAAGCGATTTTTTTTCGTACAATCAGAGGCCATGATCCAAGATGTTACGTTCCCACAATATCAAAAGGAACTATAATATAAGATCTTTGGGATATAAACCTATAATTCAATTTTCGTCAAAATCGGATAAAAAATTGTGACTTGTAGAGCAGTGGTTCTTAACTGGGGGTACGTGTACACTATATACGAGATATGGTGTCAAATTGTCGGTGTACTGCACGAGATATGGTGTCTTTAGTCGGTGTACTGTACGATTGTACTTGAAAGACTATTTATGTATTCATTATATCTGCGTATGCATTCAATGCATTGTATAAATAAACTTACAATATATTTCATTTCAGTTATTATATTTCCATTTATTTCCTGAAGTCATTTTGACAGGGGTACGAGGAAATACTATGAAAGCTCAAGAGGCACGAGTACATAAAAAGGTTAAAAACCACTGCTGTTATTTATTTATTTACCCTTTTATTGTTACGATTTAAAGTAAATGTGCTATAATTGTAAAATCTTATAAATTCCCCACGTACAAAATATTCCAAATTTTAATATTACAACTTGTTTTTGATATAACAATAATAACATTATAGAATTTGTTTGTTTATTGGGGTTTTCTTTTACAAAGAAACAAAGTATTTTCGATTAATTATATATATATATACAAAACAAACCCATAACCATCACAATTATAGCAGAAATTTAAGAAAATAAACATTTACATAATAAACAAATGAAAAAAATTATCAAAACTTATTTAACCATTTACGGTAACAATATAAAGCAAATATCAAGGTGTCATTGGAAGATATGTCTCAAATTTTGCAAACAATCTAATATGAATTCTTGTTTTGTATATATACACTGCATATTAAAATCACAGCAAATCGAAATTATATTTTTACCGACATGCAAAGACCTTAAAAGCACCCGACGATCAATATCGTGGCTATGCATATATAATATATATTACACAATACACTTATGTATAGGTCTAATAATAATTGGTAAAGAAAAATATATAAAGTAATAAGAAATATACAACTGCTATACTTCTACCAGCAGCAAAGTAGCATATTTTAACTCTAAAATCAATGCTAACAAATCCCACTGAGAAAGTTTTAACAAATTCAAGCAAGTTTTAAAAACTGTTTAGCTCTTTAAAAGTAAAACTAGGAACAGAAAGTTAACTCTACACAATCATAGAATGTGTTTCATTTACCACCAACATATTCTTAAATAACAATATTGGTGTCAGTCATCATCACATATGTGATAGAACTGGTTAAACACATTCCAAATATAAGTTTAACACAGAGGTCATTGCTACGATAGATGAGCAATACAGGTGTCACGAATCGGAAGTGACGAACGCCAAAGGAAAACACGAGTTATCCCTCTATATAACTGACTGAAATGACGAGTGATATCAGATACACGGCCGAATTTCTGCTCACTAATAATTCCTTCGAAGACCAAAAGTTGTCATATGGGACTGTAAGATGATATCTGACAATTCAATAAAGTAATTGAATGTCATTAGATAAGAGAACACGAGAAAAATAGAAATAGTCCGTACATTCCCTCATTTTTATTCATTCTATACCTTATAAAAACATGGTAATGCACGGACTTTTTCTGTTTTTCTTTCGTATTCTCTTATCTAGTGGCAGTCAATTCTTTTGATAAATTGTCAGATATCCTCTCACAGTCTCGCACAACAACTTTTGGTCTTCGAAGGAATTATTAGTGTTTAACCAGTTCTATCACATATGTGATAATGACTGACACCAATATTGTCCTTTAATTCGATTACTTTCTGTCAATATGAGTAATTATTTTATACTCGAGCAATTATTAGCCCCCTCGAATGAATATTTTACACGAGTACTTAATATGTGTCCTTGTTTCCAACACCATCATAACCTTTCATCAACAATCTTCCAACTGCATAATAATAATTTCACCGTATATTATTGACTATATCTAAATTAATTATATTCAGCGTCTTTAGTGTCCACAGGCTAACTAAATTTTCATTTTAAAAAACCCACAACATTGTCCTACAAATAAGAAGTTAGAGCCAAATTATATTAACGCAGTGGCTATTTGCCACATGTTTTTAGCAAGAATTTCAAAATAGCCTTACGACTGCAGACCGCAATTACCACATGAAATGTGTGGTAACCTGGTATCTCGGAAACCGCTATCCGGAAGTGGTCCAAATTTTGGCTACTCTGCGATATTATTAATGTTATCATATTCGGGAAGTTTCAATGAAATGTGTGGCAACCTGATATCTCGAAAATAGCTAAACGGGAGTGGTCGAAATTTTAGCTACTCTGAGATATTATTAATGTTATCTTATTCTGTAAATTTCATGGATATCGGTTGATAATATTGCGGTCTGCAGTCGTGCCACATGAAATGTGTAGTAACCTGATATCTCGGAAACTGCTAACCGGAGGTGGTCGAAATTTTGGCTACTCTGAGATATTATTAACGTAATTATAATCTCCAAGTTTCATTGAAATCGGTTGATAATAATAATTGCCGTCTGTAGTCGTGCCGTCTTCATTAGCCCAGTTTAGGAGCAGAACAGTAGGACGTTAAATCCCATTTTATTTCTGTAGCCGTGCCGCATGAAATGTGTGGTAACCTGATATCCCGGAAAACGATATCCGGAAGTGGCCGAAACTTTCCCTACTCTAAGATATTATTAACGTAATCATAATATTTAAGTTTCATTGAAATCGGTTGGTAATTGCGGTCTGCAGTCGTGCCATGTGAAATGTGTGGTAACCGGATATCCCGGAAAGCGCTATCCGGAAGTGGTCGAAATGTTGGCTTCTCTGAGATATTATTAATGTTATCATATTCTGTAAGTTTCATGGATATCGGTTGATAATTACGGTCTGCAGTCGTGCCATGTGAAATGTGTGGTAACCTGATATCCCGGAAACCGCTATCCGGAAATGATCGAAATTCTGGCTACTCTGAGATATTATTAATGTGATCATATTCTGTAAATTTCGTGGATATCGGTTGATAATTATTGCGGTCTGCAGTCGTGCCACACGAAATGTGTGGTAACCTGATATCTCGGAAACTGCTAACCAGAAGTGATCGAAAGTTTGCCTACTCTGAGATATTATAAATGTAATTATAATCTGCAAGTTTCATTGAAATTGGTTGGTAATTGCTGCCTGCAGTCGTGCCACATGTAATGTGTGGCAATCCGATGTCTCGGAAACTGCTGACCGGAAGTGGTCGAAATTTTGGCTACTCTGATATATTATTATTATCTTGATCTGTAAGTTTCATAAAAATCGGGTAACGGTTGACAATTGCGGTACGGTTGATAATTGCGGTACGGAGATTTGCCACGTGGCAAATAGTCTCCGAATTGTCTTACCACATGTGGCAAATATCCCCAGCCTTATATTAATCGTCCATATGTGATTATTTTATATCAATATTTTAATAATTTCTCTATCCTATAATGTGTAAATTCCCCGATTAATTAAGAAAATATTAGAAAGACATTGACATACAATGGGCTGAAAGTAATTCTGATATAAAGGGGATATTTTAACGTGCAAATTATTCAATTTTACGGTCAGTTTTGGCTTACCTGTAACTGTGTTTTAAATTGGCCTATATGTGATTATATATTCAGGGTATACCTGGTTGTTATTAAATAAAACAAAAATCATAGGGTTATGCTCATTATCTACACAAGAATCATACAGATCACTTGATGGGTTAGACGGATCCTTTAAGGGTGGTCGGGCAAAACTTCGATGTCCCGTGATGCTATCACCTAACAGGGCCCTGACAACAAACATCTTCCTCTCCTTGTCGTCGTTGTTGCAGTATCTGTTTGACAAAAGTGACGTTTTGGCGAAGTAACCCCCTTTACCAAACAAGGTACCAACTCTGTTTCCTGCTAAACGACAATCAAATCCCTGTCTAGCTATAGCATCTGCTATATTATTGTCAGTACCGTGATACAATCGTATGTCTTCTATTGGCCGTTTCAATTTTCTGTTAAGTGCAGCCTTGGCTCTGTTGATAGAATAAAAAAAAATTATTGTTGACTGTAGAGGCAGAAATGGGGCTATGGTAGTAGTAAAGGAAATTCCTCTATGAGTACCTGCTGGTGATGCTACTGTTGGCTTCGACGCGGACCTTTTTTTCGGCTCCTCAAATCCAGGTCCAGGCTATCGTCCAATGTATATCTATGAAGCAGGTTATTATTTCCAAAACATGTACTACCACTTAACATTTAAGGAGTTCACATAGCTATAACAATTTTTTGTTGCACAAATATTCTTGTTACTTGATATATTTCGGGGTTTTTTTTCTTTAAAGTGTTATGATCAAAGTAGATTGCTATTTGATATTTAACAAATGAGGCAATACGTTATGGTTCCAGTCTACTCCACTAATTCCAGGTTTCATTAACGGGGTTTTCACGAATTCCGTTTATCTGCCCTTGATCGTAGGTTGATTCTTCGAACCAATAAAAAACAAACAGTTTACATACCAGTCAAAGCGTCATTGCTTACGTTTACAACAATAATCTTCGTTGTAATAAAATGTCAGTTAATTGATTCACTCTGAACCAAGATTTTAGCGATTGAATTTTCGGCCTAGCCTCGATCATCATTACTAAAGCCAGTACGATAAAATGCATAGTCTCGATTATCCATTTCATAATTAAATCATGAATGGAAGTCGAACAGCAAATCGGAACCTAATCCAATAAACATCGCAGGGTAGCGATGACATCAAGTTGATTATGGTCTGGATAAGTTAATTAATGTCTTATTAACAATTTCGGGCCTAAAGAAGGACCTGTAATAGGCAGATTTAGCTCTTGCATAATGTATGTTTAATAATTTAAATAGCATTTGAAGCCCCCCCCCCCAAAAAAAAAAAAGACCTGCAATTGGCAGATTTGGCTCTTACATAATGCATCCATAATTGTATTCTGTACTTTAAACACACGCTATGATATAATATATGTGTGCATGGCCGTGTAAACTATTGCATCTAGAAGTATTAATTAATAATGGTGTTATTACCCCGTTTACACTGATGCCCCACTTTATAATTAATTTATGATGATAGGTAAGGCGTAGCCGTCTATATTTTTTGTTATAATTTGATACATAGTTGTTATATTATCCCATAATTTTCTAATATCATATTTCAATTATTGTTATAATACAATGCCGATACAGTCACAAAACCTATTTCTGTGATATATTTAAAGGAGCTAAATCGCTAATATTTGGGACCTAGAAATGGGTCGAAATGCATATAATAATGTAATCTGAATGTATATAAACTGATTTACATTCAATCGTTTCCGTTTTTTACTCTATTTCAAATCAGTTATGTTCGGCGAAATACGCCCGATTAAGTCTCAATCGAATGGCAATCTCTAGCGTCTGGTTATTCCAGTCTATTGCGCATGCTCTCCAGGTAAGAATATGGCGTCACAGTTTGACATGACTTGTGGAATATGTCTAGCCTCGTTCTTCAAGTACCTTGTTACAAATGGCATTAAAACGCACTATGGTACACGATTCGTGTACCAATATGTTTATATTGGATATCAGAAGCCCATCTTTTCCCGGTAAGATCACACACCAATGCTGATTTAAATTGACAAATAATTCGTGTTTTCAATGCGGAAGACGTTTGATGATATTGAGTTAGAGACTGAGCTGCTTTAATCCAAACGCGTTAATATAACACATGATATTGTGTTACTTGGTAATTTAATTGAACCGAAATAACCGTACAATTATATTTATCATTAACCCTTGTAGACCCAAGTCTCTAACTAATGCATTTTGTATGAATGGTTTAAGTTTACAAATCATTGAGTATGTTCATGCAAAATAATGAGGTATTTATTCCCTCTGTTTAAACAATATTTTATTTCGAATACACTATGGGATTTTACAAGATTAATATAACGACTTTCAAAACAAGCCTAAAATGTTTTCGTTGGGATCAATATAAAGCTAAGCTTTCCTATATGTATTCTTGATACCATTAGAGATAGTGAAGTATACTCTGTATTCTTGATACTATTAAAGAGAGTGAAATACACTATTTGGTGATACCATTAGGGGTAGTGAAGTATAGTATATTCTAGATACTATTAGAAATGGTGAAGTATACTACATATTCTTGATACCATTAGAGATAGTGAAGAATACTTGTATTCTTGGTATTGTTAGAGATGGCGAAGTATACTATATTCCTAATACCATTATAGATAGTGAAGTATACAATGTATACTTGATAACATTAGATATATGGAATTATACTTATATTATTGATAATGTTAGAAATAGGGAATTATACTATGTATTCTTGATACTGTTAAGAGGGAAGTATGCTATTTTGTATCTCGTTTTCAACATTTAACAAACTAAACGCAATTAGTTACATCATACATTAATCGACAGCTTATTCATTTACCTTTACCTTGGCTCCTCTTGGACTGATTTGTGGAAAGTTGTGTAAAAATAGATCTACGACCTATAGATCATCCTAAGTTTCCCCAGGGGTTAGTGGAGTAGAACGGAATGATACCACTGGGGATGCTATATATTATGAATCTATACTTACTCAAGGAATGCCCTCCAAAGCTCTACGTTTTCAATTCTATCAATAGATCGTACTACAAATTTTTCTTCTGATTGAGATATATCTAATAAAAATTTATCTCTAATTTCTGTATATTCATCACTGCATGTTAAAAGCTAAATAAGAAACGTGATGACATAATATTATTCATTAAAACAATCGCTATTTCGCTGGCCAGTTTATGGGATGACACAGCTCTAGGGCCCTGTCCCTGTCCCTGGACCAAGAGAATGGTTTCTCGCTTCCACCCACAGCAATTTAAAAGATCAGGATTTTCAGAAAGGAAAAATACTTTCATAAAATTGAAGCTGTACTTTGAATGAAAAGTATTTGATCCAAGAGATATAGTTGTTGGTTGCTGTGAAACCACTGAGTATGAAGATGCAGTTTTCGCCATCCTCAGTTGTAACGTTCGCTTCTACGATCCACTAATCCCTGGTTCCATTCACGGGGGAGTCACGTAGTCAAATCATACGCCCTCGGTAATTGTGCTATTTTTATCGACAGACAGACAACAAAAAATTCGATAAATAAGCTATTGGGGCGAAGGCAGGTAACTCGCATTTTGCTGAAACTAAAATTACCGGATCATTGCTGAAAAATTTGTCGAAATACTTTAGGGCATCTTTTTGTGTGCATGTCATTTCTTTGTTAATAAATTCCTTGCAAAATTTCTCATAATCGAACGTACTATTGTGGTGAACATAAACAATGATGCTAAGACTGGTAGGTAATTTGTTCGTAGAAACAACCTACGTGACAAATAAAATCATTAAGGGCAAATAATATGAATCGTGAATACCCCGTGAATGGACCCGGGGATTAGTACAGTAGAACGGAACGATACCAGTGGGGAGGTTCATTAGCATAGGAATGATGAAAGAGTCTTTCAGTTTCTTGAATTATCCGTAATTTGGGGAGATGCCTTCTGTGACAGTGGTCCGATTCACACGATATTAGTTATAGTTATGGCTTGATGTGGTCTTCACACCAGTTGACAATGGTCACATCTCCAAACTGTGTGTTGGACAAAAGACCATTAATTAGTTCTGTTTTGTCGTCATTCAGTTTTAGCATATTGGAAGACATCCATTATAAGAAACTTCTGTAGTTTAGCAGTGGTCTAATATTAATTTTAGAAAAAGCATAGACATGATACTCAATGCCGCCTATACCAGTAGAACAATGGAAATGCTTCGATGACAGGAGCATGCCTGTGATTACTCGTACAGAAAAATAACCTAATAAATCTGCCTTAAAGAGTGAATGGGCGGATCCAAGAATAATGTTACAGTACTTACCCGTGTCATTCGAAAATGTGAGGAAACATCACCAGAGAATTCCCATGTCGATGGTGTGGCAAGTTTCTCAGCCTCCTTTATGAGTTTGACTTTATCTTTTCTAAATTATTGAAAAACATTATTTTACTAATAATCTATCGATATCTTTGTATTGTAATGATAAGAATCTTTTCATTTTGAAAATTTAGGTTATATAAAGTCATATTCAACAGACAACATCCACGCGTGGACCGGGCAAATTGTCGTTGAATTATAAACATGTGAAAGCAAATAATACATATACCTCTGTTTGAGAACAGCCTTATCCACAAATTCCGGTCTTCTAGCAAGTTTCCGTTCCGTACCTATGTCTTTATTTACTTGGACCATACCAAAGAATTTAATTAGATATGCATTGGCTAAGGTTTTGAATTCTACAGTAACATCAGTGTCATTTAGGTAACTCTTCTCAATCTCTGTGGATGTTATACTAGCCTTGTAACCAATGCCATCCTGAAAAAAATGTTTCGGTCCAAAATAAAAAATTTAGTTATATTTATAACATTACATAACATTAAATTTTTACTTCAGTGGTCAGTTTATATAATTCTATTTACTTTGTCATATTTTCTTTCTTTTGATACATTAATGTCGATTCTGTAATGAAGAAACAGCATTTTGATATTCCATCATTCTTTATCATCAAGTCGTATTTAATTTTCCTAAGACATAAGCCGTTACAATTTAGACTTAGAAGCTAAGTATTAAATGTGACCCTTTTGTGTTTGCCGATTACTCAAGATCAAAACATATGGAAAATAAAATGGGAATAAAACTGTCTATTTATCAAATTGATAGATTCATCTCAAATTTTGTACATAATCTTAACTCTTTTTTTGTTTAAACATGTTTTATTGCAAAACCTTTACAAAGGAATTAGGATAATTTATAGGAATTATGATCACCTTCTCCCCTCTCTTGACAGTATTGTCTTGTCAAATCAAATCGAACCAATCTGAGACTACCACAAAATGGCTTTGCTCCTTTAAATCTATGTCAGTAATAAACAAGTTAACATTGGATGGTTATGTAATAATAAATTCCAATTGTCAAGTGAGGTTAGAAACCAATCCGCTAATTTGTAATGCGTCCCGACATTGGATACCACTCGTATGTTCCTACATAATATCCACATGTTAAAATGTTTAACTTACTTGTTCCCCATAAGGAATCCAACTATCTTCTGATTTCCAGTACCATATCCATTTTGTGGTAAACGGAAGATCAAGGTTACTAGTGTCGCTGGTAAAGCTCAGTGTTGATAATCGACGGATCTTGGGATCACTTTTCTCAAAGTTGGTAAAATCAATTCTCTTTATAGTGCGTGTAGATCTACATGTAATGGTTTTATTATAAATAATAATAATTTAATACCGGATATCAAACCTACAGTACAAATGTTAGATACATTCTCAAAAGCAATTTTGTTGTCAGCTCTGCTTTTCACGTAAACGTTTCTCCATCAGGCGGTCAGGGGATTATAAATAATCACACAAGGATTGTAAAAACTAGCTCTGGACAACTCCATATAATTTGTAGACGGTTTGAGGGCGATCAATAACCCCATTCAAAATTTCTTTCATTTCGGTTTGACAAAAAATTACAGAAAATCAAAAGGGTTTATATATTGTTCGATGAAGTGGAAATGAACGCGATAGTTTGCAATTCTAACTTTTGATAGGTTTCATTCCTATAATTAGGGAATGAAAAGTGATGCAAAGCTAACCATAAGACTTTAACAAGCAATCTTCATTACGAAAGGGTGCAAATGTTGTGTTAACTCCCCAATTAATGATGTTTTATAGTTTGTCATTGATAAGGTAACTATTATGCTACCGCGTACACAACACTGGTCTCTACTTATACAGAAACAATAGTTTGGATAAAGTCACCATCAGAGCCACCAGACAACAGTCGGACTTAGAACGATTAAATAAATATGATAATTACCCTTCTGTTGTTTTGTAATAATGCTCCTCTTTAATATCAGGTGAACAATAGTTCCTCTCAATATCAATATTAGTTTCTTCTGCAAAAACCTGCCATTTACCATGGTTATCTTCATACTGCCACTGGTACAACATACGACTGTGAACGTTTTTACATTTCTTATACCAACATTTCCCGCGTAAATGAAATAGACAAATGTTTGGAACTTCAACAGATTTTCCCTGTGGATTATTCTTTGGTTTTTGTTCTCGCTGTCGTGAAAGTCGCGGGGCTATTTTAAGGGCTTGCTTGTTTTCAACTCCACCGGTTATTTCAGCATGTGGTATCTGGGTGCCTGCGGTGCCAATAGGTCTATTCTTTGCTTCATAATGTGGTAGTAGGGGGCCTGCGATGCCGGTTGGGATATTTAATTTCCTTGCTTCATTTTGTTGTATTTGGGGGTCCGTGATGCCAATAGGTCTTATCATTGCTTCATTATATCCACGTTGTAGTGAACGTCGTGGAGCTATCTTTGGGGCTTGCCTAGTGTAAATTCCATCTTTTGTTGCAGTTTGTGCTATATGGGGATCTATGATGCCAATAGGATTTATCATTGCTGCATTATGTTGTATTGCCATTAGGGGGCCGGCAAAGTTAACAGACCCATTCCTGACTTCATTTTGTTGGTCTGTGATGCCAACATACCTATTCCTTGTTTGGTTTTCACGTTGTCTTGATAAAGATCGCGAATTCTGTTTTGGGGCGGCTCGATTTTTGGGGCCATTTTGCAGTATTAGAGGGTCTGCGACGGTAGCCTTGTTCTTTTTTCTTTTACCAAACATTTGATACAAACTTCTTAAATTCATTAAAATGTCCTGTGGGGTTCGTCTAGTATCGAGGCCATATTTTCTCAAAACTCCCTGTAAATGTTGGACGTCGTGGCTTTTATCACATTCATCCCCACGTCTACAGGTGCCGTAAATATAATTTCGGCAAATGTGAAGCATTTTGCAAGTATTATCCATACTCTTGCACCCGTCATCGTTATAAAAGAAGCAAATTCTAGGGGTGGTCCATTCCGTTCTGTTTGATCTAAGCCGAAATAAACCTCTAAGCTCCCCATCTGATAAAAGTTCAAGATCCAAAGATCTCAGCAAATTTTCGTTGTGTCCTCCATCATGCATATTATGTCCAAATCTGCACGATGTCGCTTGACACATATCTGATAACAAGTAAAATTTGCAAATATGAAACATTTGACAATAGATATCGTTACAACCAGAAGAAAAATCGGGACATATTTTTGCCTGAACGACCAAATCAACATCTCTGCAGTCAGAAGATACACGAAAGCGTTGCAGGTTTGACCGAAGAATTGCGATAAAATTTGATCGTTCTGTTTGTCCTATCATATTTCTTAGTTTCTCTGTGTCGATAAACACTCGATTATCATCCATATTGCCATATCGTACAATACTCATCACAATATGTTTCACATAAGAATTATTACTAGAATAGGCCATCATTATACGTAATATCTACTATAGTATCAAGCTCGAGTGTCCTATAGTTAACATATACACACTTACTGCTAAATTATCTCCAAGGTTTGTCAGTTTTCTTTAAAAAGATTGGTTAATGTATTCCGTATTGTGAGGCCCACATATGCGTCCAGATCCATATGATAAAACTAAACCAATCGAATAGTCCACCTTATTCACCGAAAACACCCTGTGAAATCGAAAGTTAAATTCACGGAATAGGGCTAAAAACTATGGTGGCTGATAGTGGCCATTTTAAATCTCGCCCTTTTCATAACGCGACAACACGACATCACGACAGTATTGACGCAATCATACGACACTAAATTCTGTCGTATCATCGTGTTATTTTTATCGTAACGTCGAGATGTCGACTTATTGTCCTAGTCTCTTTCTACAAGTCACAAAAATACAGCTGTACTCATTACATCATATATAGGCCTAAGTAGTAGATTTGATAAATATAAAAGAGATAGTAGGAAAACGTTGATTAATTATTTGTTTTCTCAAAATAATGAAACATTTTGTGTCCACTAGTGAATTATATTTGGTATTATATTAAAAAAATCTAGAATTACAATAGCAGGACCAAAGTGAGTTAGCTAAGTTAATTCCTTGAAGAAAAAGTGGTGTCGGGAGGTATCGAACAAGTAAGCATTCATTGCCATCTGTACGACACCCACCAATATTTATAGATGACTGGAGCTATAGTTTAAAAGTGATTTCAGAAGACAGGGTGGGAAGGGGATTGTAAAAAAACCAAATCGGGTCACATTCTTTAAAATCACAGCATTATCATAGTGCAGCACGTCACCCCAATAGTTGCAGGAGTTTTTTTGAATGAGGTGGAGAAAACGATTCGCAGCCTGTCATTGAGTCAACTGGCGTGGTTTTGAATCCCCGGTTGTACGTGACAAGGTGTAGGGTCGCCTGTCAAACCTCGTGGGTTTTCTCCGGGTCCTCCGGTTTCCTCCCACTGCTAAAGACCCCTACGCGCAAACGATTTATTGAAATAAAATTAAACCATATGTTAGTCCCGAAATGACCTAATTTGTGTCGAGTGGACGTTAAACCCTCTCTCTCTCTCTCTCTCTCTCTCCCATTGACATCACTAATGGGATTGAGGCCTAGATGAGTAAAAATAGGCCCAGTAATATCTTCAACTATGAACACACTCTAAAAGCCTCATACACCCCCCCCCCCCCGTCACCCAAATAGATGCAGGAGTTTTTTTATGAGGTGGAGAAAACGATTCGCAGCCGTTATTGACCTTATCGCATATAGGCTTGCATCCGTTTGACATCACTAATGGGAATGGGGCCTAGATGAGTAAAAATAGGCCCAGTAATATCTTCAACTATGAACACACTCTAAAAGCCTCATACCCCCCCCCCCCCACGTCTCTTATTTAGTTTTACAAATGATTCCAGAATCAATAAAATGGTATCAATGATGTTTGATACAACTGGAAAATAATATGTCAAAAATTGATTAAACATGAGAAATATTATTACATATTGAATCCGTATCAGTGATAACGTACATTTACTCAATATGTTCCTTCCAATGGATCATCATTTAACATGAAACAAGGAAAGCAGCGATCGAAGAAAAAGATTTAAAAACACACACATTTCAATATGACAGTAGTGATTCGGTCATGCATTTACATTCGAGAGTGTCATGCTTTCTTTGAAAGTAATGATTGTGCCAAATTTGAACAAAGTCAGTTTACATTCGCGGCCTATAGGTAGAGTGTTGACAGATCAAACGTAAAAAAAAACAAAGAAAAAACCAGACCTATAAAAATATATTTCTTAAACTCTTTTAATTTTGAAATAATATTGTTTTCGCGTGTGCTAAGTGTTTCAGCGAATACATAGTTACAGAAAGGGTCTTGTAGATTAAGACTATAGCGCATGTGCAGTTTCAAACTTCCGACACGACAAGTCGACAAGTCGATGATACGACAAAACCAAACTGTCGTATCATCGACTTGTCGACTTGTCGTCTCGGAAGTTTAAAACTGCACATGCGTCATAGTCTTCATCTACAAGACCCTTTCTACAACTATTCGCTAAAACACTTATCACACGTGAAAACAATAGAATTTCAAAATTAAAAAAGGTTTAGAAAATATATTTTCATAGATCTGTTTTTTTTAAGGTGTTATCTGTCAAACCTCTGGTATAACTACAGACTGCGGAACTAGATGTTCAAATTTGGCATAATCATTACTTTCAAAGACAGTGTGCTATGAGGGAATTTTGCCCGGGAAGCGGCGCTACGGCCCGCTCTTATATCGAAATCCAACTGCCAAGGGGTCTTTTACGTGCACGCCAATGTGTCCACGGGACCTCGGTGTTTCGTCCCATCCGAACGACTAGACAGTTGTCATTGTCAGGCCCTCCGTACTGCATCACTGACAAGGGGGAATTTTGTCGGCCAATGCAGGGATCGAACCAATCTGTGAAAAAAGTCGTCTAATATCTCTGTAAAAGATGACTGTTTTCAACACATGCAATCACGTCACGCGGTGTCAATCATTGGACCAATGGCGCGTGCATTGTTTATATAAGACGTAACTGCTTCGGGTAGAATGATGCCTTTTACTCATTTTAATACCCATTTACGCTACATAGGAAATATTTTTTACCTACAAATACTTCAAATGTCTTTATTTATTTTTCTAATACATAAAAAAAAATGTTTTAGAATTAAATTTGTCGGAGGAATAATGTTAATATTGGGGACTCATTAAGTCGCATCGATGTCATCCTTATCAGAGGCCTAGCGAATATTCACTTCTGATCAGTGTGGGATCGAACACCCGACCTCCAGGCTAGCTAGCCAGCGTCTTGCCCACGTAGCCACGCGATCCTCTGAAAGGATGATACTCTCGGGTGTAAATACATGACCGAACCACTACTGTCATATTGAAGACGGGCATACGCCATACTATGAGCGAAATTTTGCCAGGACAGCGCACTATGGCCTACCATTATATCGAATTCCAACTACCAAGGGATATTTTACGTGCCAGGCCCTCTGTCCAGCACAACTGACAAGACCTCGTCGGAAAATCTGGATGAACTTTCTCGTCCAATGAAGGGATCGAACACCCAGCTTTCGGGTTACCGAACCAACGTCTTACCTGCCTAGACACTGCGACTCCCCCGCAAAATATCAAGCACCAAAAACAATGGATCGTGGCCTAGATGATTACACACTATGAAAGCCTCATACGCCCCCCCCCCCGTCCCCCACGTCTCTTATTTTGTTTTACAAATAATTTCAGAATCAATAAAATGGTATCAATGATGTTTGATACGACTGGAAAATAACATGTATAACATTGATTAAACAACATAGGTAGTAATGAGAAATATTACATATTGAATCCGTATTAGTGATAGCGTAGATTTACTCAATACGTTCTTTCCAATAGATCATCATTTAACTTGAAACAAGGGAAACAGTCGATCGAAGAAAACAGATTTTTAAAAAAAAAAAAACAGGTTTCAATGTGACAGTAGTGCTTCGGTCATGCATTTACCTCCGAGAGTGCCATCCTTTCTTTGAAAGTAATGATTGTGCCAAATTTGAACAAATTAATTCCATCTAGATTCGCGGCCTGTAGGTAGAGTGTTGACAGATCAAATGTAAAAAATGTTTTTTTTTTACGTTTTATCTGTCAACACTTTACCTACAGGCCGCGAATCTAGATGGACTTTGTTCAAATCTGGCACAATCATTACTTTCAAAGAAAGGATGACACCCACAGATGTAAATGCATGACCTAACCACTACTATCATATTGAAACTTGTTTTTTAAAATCTTTTTTTCTTCGATCGGCTGCTTCCCTTGTTTTCAAGTTAAATGGTGATCCATTGGAAGAAACATTTTGAGTAAATGTATCATTGACACGGATTCAAAATGTAATATTTACTACCCTAAATGTATCATTGATACGGATTCAAAATGTAATATTTACTACCCTATGTTGTTTAATCAATTTTAGACACATTAATTTCCAGTCGTGTCAAACATCATTGATAGGGACCTACCATTTTATTGATTCCGAAATTATTTGTTAAACAAAATAAGAGGGGGGGGGGGTGCGTAGGGGACTTTCGGAGTGTGTTCATAGCTGAAGGCAATATTGGGCCTATTTTTAATCATCTAGGCCCCGATCCCATTAGCGATGCCAAACGGATGAATATGCGATAAGGTCAATAACAGCTGCAAATCGCTTTCTTCACCTCATAAAAAACCTCCCCTGCACTTATTGGGATGGCGTGCTACACCAATGCGGTGATTTTATGTGGTCTGATTTGAGGTTTTATATAATCCCCTTCCCACTCTAATAAAATAAATTGGAAATCTTCTGAAATCGCTTCTAAACTATCGCTTCAGTAATCTATAAGTATTGGTGGGTGTCGTACACGAGGCAATGCATACTTGTTCGATACCTACCGACACCACTTCTTATTCAAGGAATTAACATAGCTGACTCACTTTTGTCCTGCTATTATGATTCTAGATTTTTTGAATGTAATACCAAATATAATTCAATTTTGGGCGCAAAATGTTTAATTTTTTTTTAGAAAACGAATCAACGTTTTCCTATTATCTCTTTTGACGAGTCTTATTTATATGTATCTATTTATATGTATCTGATGTAATGAGTACAGCTGTATTTTTGTGACTTGTAGAAAGAGACTAGGACAATAAGTCGACATCTCGACGTTACGATAAAAATAACACGATGATACGACAGAGTTAAGTGTCGTATGATTGCGTCAATACTGTCGTGATGTCGTGTTGTCGCGCTATGAAAAGGGCGAGATTTAACATGGCCACTATCAGCCACCATAAAAAACTGATTACGTCGACCGTTCAATGTATTTTATATTGCAGAAAAGATGAACGTGGCCTACTTATTTCCGTATCAACATGCTATAACGCATTATTATGGAAGTCGAAACGGGTAAAATTTAATCATTTTCACCGCGTCATCCTCAAAATTAGTGCAGTCGGTCTCAAAATTATGCATTGGCGACTGTATGATCCAGCAAACATATACGTCTAGATCAATTATAATAAAACTAATCCATTGGAAATGTTCTTCCTTATTCGCAGAAAACACACTTCGAAATAGAAAGTAAATTCACAGAAGGTTGAACTAGCGTGCTGTTATTTTATATAGCATAAATTATAGATTAAGTTTTTAT